TTATTTTTTTTTTTTTTAATTAATTCTCTTTGAGAGAAAAGAAAACAAAAAGGCGGAATTTTTAGTGATAAAAAAAAAAAAATTTAAATAATAAAAATAAAATTTTACATTTAATGATAAAAAAATGTCTGTCGTTAAGAAGTTTCAATGACATCCAACATAACCATACAACCTAAAAGTAACAAAACTTCAAGTGCTCTATGTTCTTTAACATCTAACCAAGCTTCTTTAAAAATAGTTAATTCTCCAATAGCATTTCTATCATTACTATCATTAGAATTTGATGAGTTTCTTGATAAAGTTGCAATTTTTATTTTATTTTTTTTAGGAGATGGAGAAATTACACTACTGCTAAATGATAAAAATTTTGGAGTAGTAGTATTTGGAGAAGGAGATATATCATATTCTACTAATTCGCATACTAAATCACAATCCTTTGCTCCCAATTGGGCTGGTTTCCATCTATAATCCTTTCCTTCAAAATCAAAATGCCAAGTATTACTAAACGCACCTGTTCTTCTTAATTCTGCTTCTAGAAAAAATGCTTTGCTTCTTATGGTTATTATTGGTTCTCCTACTAATGATATACGTTTTGCTTCACCTATTATTAATTCATTATATACTTGTTTCAATACACAATGATATAGTGGTGAATTACTGATACTTTTTGAATATATTGTATAAAAAATAGGTTCATTATCTTCTACTTTCCCATCTTCGTTTTTGGTTTTTATTATTTCCTCATTATCATTATCATTATTGTCTATTTTATCGTTATTATCATTGTTAATACTATCATCGTGGTTGTTGTTGTTGTCATTTTCTTCATCAATTTCTTTGATACTATCATGTATTATCATGTTATCTTTTGGTATAGAAAATGGATATAAAACTTCAACCTCACCAGAGAAAGGTGAAGCACGAGCTAAATGATATGTTAACGAATCTGTGAATACATCTTTGTCAAAGATATTTAAATTATATTGACTGTTACGATTACTAGTATCAGCGCAATTTAGCCTAGAATAAGTAGTAGAAGCTTGAAATGTTGGGTTAATTGTAGTAGTTGTAGCTGTAGAAGGAGTTGTAGAAATGGTTGCTGTTGTTCCTGCTATTTTAAATCATTATTATGTGTTCGCCTAATAATTCATTTATTTAATGATAATTATTTATATTTACCTTTAGTATTTATGTCATCCTCAGTGCTAAAACTTGTCGACTCCTCTTCAGTAAACGATTTGTGAGAGGGTACCTGCCCTTGATTGACTTGATTTTTAACAGTTTTTGAAAATAATTTATTCATTTTAGAAGAAACGAAAATTAAGTTGGTGAAACGGAATCAGCGCACAAAATTTTCTTGTGGAAATTTTTTCTAATGATCGTCGGAAATAATAAAATTAAAAATATTTTACCGGAAAAATTAAATGAAAATCATAATCATAATCAGGTAATTCGGACATTTTCCGAAAGGCAAAACCTTTATCCACGCACAATGACAAATGGATAAAGGGTTTTCCTGTTCGGAAAATACCTTTTATGCGCTGAATGGAACTATACATTTCAGGATTGTGTAATTGTCAATACATAATGAATGAAACGGGTGTTACAAAAAAAAAAAAGGAGTTTTACAAAAACAAAAAAGGCGAAACACTTTTGCCGAAACAAATTTTTTACTAAAATATAATTTTTGGGAAGCATGAAATAAAAAGATTTTTACCTTTAATTCGTACACGTAGATCTGTACAGATTTAATAATTATAATTAGCTCCTATCCTAAAGTTGGAAGGATGGTTGCGATCATTGTTGTCATTCTGGTTATTTTTAATTAATTATTAATTAACGAAAGAATACAACTCAATTAAATCCGTGCAATATTTGACGATAATACTATATCTCTTAGAAAATTGTTTCGTAAAATTGATTACGTTGTATATAAACTTTGATCATTGATCATTAACAGTTATTACACTTATCCTGAAAGCGCTCCAATTTTTTAAAACGTTCAAAGGTTGTATTTATAGTAACAATAAAATATATCATTTAATTAAATCAAGCCTTTTTCAAAAACGTGGGGAAACACTTTCCCACCATAAACAATTCATTATTGTCAAAGGAATCAATCAAGCTTTTTTTGAAAATGTAAAGAAGGTAGGTACATTATTGATAATATTAAACAGCTATGACTTTTTTGAAAATGTGAAGAAAATACTTTCCAGCCACTAAAAAGGCACAATAATTATTGTTGCTCAAAATAATAATCGTAATAATAATAATAATAATAAAATAATGTGTTATATTTTTGTTGCCAAAACAAACTTCCTCTTCAGGATGCATTTGATCTGACTGTTCATAAAACTCAAGGATTGACCATGACATATATGTTTACTGAAGGGCGAGTGTATGTTGCATTGAGTGTAAACTGCAAATCCTTGATTTTGATTAAAAATTTTCTAGGGCTGTTTTAGAAGAGTATAAAATATTAGATGCTACGGGTATTGATGGTTGCAAAACTTACAACGTTATAAAAGAAAATATAATTTATATTGTTTGAATACTTGTGTGGTTATTACACGAATTCACAGCAACCTCTTGTTAAAAATTTTTATAAAAAAAAATTCTGTATCATTAAAGCTTTCAACGAATATTTTCTTGTATTCAAAGGAATTCTCTGAATAAAGCTATTAACATCCAAAAACGCTATTAAGTTTTCTTCAAGTTGAGATTACTTTCCCACGTTGCTTGATAAGTGTGATAAAATAGATGTAAAATACTCTAATCTTATTAGCATAGTGGACACTGTTGCAGATCACAAAAAAATGATCAACATAACATATGTTATGGTGAAAGTTCTTGCAAAAGTTTGATTATAAAAGTGTGAGATAATTTTGATCTTGCTGATGATCTGGACTTAGAGAGGCTACAGCTATATTCTAGTGAAGTTTCAGAAGCAACGGGCTCTGTGTAACCGCCTGACTATTATACAAATGACTGTTGCACAAAATGAGTGTCCATTATGCTATTGTTATTATTATTATTATTATTATTATTATTATTATTATTATTATTCGCCGAATATCCGTTGAATCTCCTTATTTAATCAATTTAATACAAAAAAATATAACATTATATTCATCAGGAAAGATATTTCAATACATTCATATTTTTTTTAAGAAAGAAATATATACAACCCTTTCAAATAACAATGGATTCAATTTGGTTCATTTGGCTGTCATTGTGTTTCCAGCTTCACTAAATAGACGCTCACTTGGAGTAGAAGTTGCTACAATACATGCAATACATAAATATTTTTAGCTAATAATGACGCAGTTGGGTATTCATTTTTGTGATTCTTCTTCCATCATATAAAACGGATATATCCCAATCAATTCCATCTAATAAAAAGAATGTCGGTGATAGTGTAATAGTGAAGATAAAAATAGTACATGTAAAAAAAGAAAAAACACACTTGCCGTGTCACGATCTCTTTCCAAAACCCGTAAGTTGTGCGACTTTCGTGTAGGTTCTTTTTACGTCTGGTTTTTTCGGTTTTGACGCGATCAACGTTTTCACCATATTTAGCAAAATTTATCGTACGGCAAATTGGTTGTTTTATAAATATTGCAATACTTCTTTGAATCGAATTGCAAATCGAGGCAATACAAGTGTGATCGGAAAAAATCTTTGTTTTTCAAACCTAATTTTTTTGGGAAAGAATTTTTCGTTTTCGCTGGGTGGTAAATTTCAAAAAAATTTTTTTTTGAAATCGATCTACGGTGATTCTTTTTATGAAATTGATTGGGTAACATGTCACTTGATCCAGCTTGCTTTTGTAAATCCAAAATTGCTTGCCGAAATTAATTTTTTCAAAAACTATTTCGGCTAACACCTTATTCTAGACCACCAATTATGATTAGAAGCTCAACTAAAGGAAAGAAAATCAATGCTGAAAAAATATTTAATAAAGCAAGGGCAAGGTTATTTTGTCATATGGTAATGACAATAGAAAATGCATTAATGTTGGTGGTATGGGCAGATACACTCACTAGACAAAAGTCGGGCGCATTTTAAACAAAAATTGCACAAAAACATACTTAATAATAAATAAATAAAAAACATTGTTTTGAAACTTAGGTTCACCAAATTATATATGCAAAATTTCGCATCTTTAATGTTTTTATTAAACCAATGATTAAAAAAAGAGAATTTCGACCAAAATTTTTTTGACAAAACAGGATCATTATTTTTTTTCTTTCAAAAAATGATTGTTGAAAAATGCACATAATAATCATACCCAAAAATTTAAAATTCGATACAAAGTAAATAATAATATTAATATCTTGTTGGCCATCCATTATTTTCAATGACTGCTTCAACTCTCCTTGGCATACTCTCAATCAATTTAATTAAGGACATCATTTGTTAATTTAGGACGGCCTTTGTAACGAGATCTTTTCTATCAATGTAATTTTGAATAGTACAAGTCACTATTTTCCTATGAACACTAACAATTTTAGTTATTTTGTGGTTTGGTACATTATTTTTGTATAGACCGATGATTTCACCACGTTGACTTTCACTTAAGGGTGACATTTTTAAAATTTTTCAAAGGAATTGTTCAAAAATTTATTAAAAATGATGTTTACAAAAAAATTCAAAACAGCATAGATACTTATTCAAGACGTTTGTTATCACATGCCGAAAATTCTTAAATACAATTAAATTTTTTTTTGTCAGAAAAATTTTTGGAAAAAATTTTGGTCGGATTTTTTATTTTTTTAACTGTTGTTTTCTTAGGCACAATAGAAGTTTTAAATTTTGCATGCAAAAATTTCGAGAACCTAGGCTGCAAAATGATATAAGTTATTTGTGTTTTTATTGTGTGCAATTTTTGTTTAAAAATGCGTCCGACTTTTGTCTAGTGAGTGTATATATAAAGACAACGTAAATGACACAAATTAGGAAGCAATATGCAATAGATAGCAACGATAAATGCATTGTATCACATCCACTTGTCAAGCGGTTCTCTTTTTACTTATAACAGGCACTAGTTAATGGGAATCTTATCTTATTGCAAGCTTGAGATTGGCTCATTTTTGTATAAAATCTATTTCCTCAGTTGCAGAGATCTCTCCGATATAGTGTTTACGATTCATAGGATGATCTCACAAAGAATATGAATCTCTACTATGTTCTCATATAACCCAAATCCTCCAATAAAACATCAATATAAATTTTAATTAGCATTTCTTAAGAAAAAAGTTATTACAATCATTCACTTAACAGACCAAAAAATCACACCATTTTGCCAGTCGTTGTGATCCAATTCTACTACAAATCCATCAAACTTCGCATTTGTTCAGACATGACTTTCAATAAATTTTTTATTAAAACATCTGGATTAACATTTATATCAGATGATGATGATTTGTTGATAAGATCATGAAACTTAAGTGAATGTATAATTGATTTGATTACATCAATAGATTCTGTATCAGAATGATGAGCATGTTAATGGTATTGGGAATATGTTGAAAACTTGATAAATATTTTTCATCCTAAATTACAAGATGAATATATGTATGTGTTCGTGCTTGTATATTAAATAATTAAGTTATATTAGTTATTTAAAGATTTCATCAATTGAATACATCGTCTATGCTATTATTATTTTTACTGTTATTATTTTTAAGTTTCTTCTTTTTATTATAATTTTTCATAGCGTCTATGTATTCTTTTTGATCTTCACAAAGTATTGGGTTGTTAGGATTACGGCCTCCTTTGGGGTTTGGAATTGAGTACTGAACAAATGAATATATAATTGAAAGTATTAATAAGCAAATAATATAAATATAAATAAGACATTAATTTAAATTTATTGTGATTACCTTAGTGCCACGTAATTTATATTGAAAATTTTTCTTTAAATAATATTTGACGTTACCATTTGCATCAGTACTTGTAGAAGTACGGATTAATGTTGGTCCGCCACATTTGGGACAAAATTTTTTTTCCATGTTGGTAGTTATTCTAATGCCAATAAATATAATTTCACATTATTAATATAAATATAATATAATCGGGGAAAAAATAATTTTATGTACTTGTAACATGCATGACAACGCAAGACCCAATTTTTTATTTGTTTGATTCTTTTACCCTCCACAGATATTAAATTAAGCCCCATTTGTAATAAAACATTCTATTATATAAATATAATTATTTACATATATATTTATTAACATAATAAAATTTTTTTTTGAAATATACATACTTGCATACTATAATCAATTGTAGTGCATGCAACACCTATTGTTTCTTCTTCTTGTATATCAATGGATAAATCTCGATTGTTTTCTATATGTTTTGATATATTATCTGGAGTTATCCAATCACCACCACCATCATCAGCATCATCACCAATGCTACTATCATTGTCATTGAATTGTTGATTATTCATGACGCTATCGTTATTATTAGATTTACTTGCATCTGTCACTGAGTCTTCATCATTATGTTTATTATTATTAGTATTCTCGTTGGGTTTATTTGAATCTTTTCCTATTTCATTGGATTTAGAATTTGCTTTAATGGGTCCTTTACGTAAATTATCAGCGCCGTTAGTCTCTGACTCAATCATATAAGTCAAAGCCAATACTTTAAAATCAACTACTGATAAATTTGCAAAATCACCAGTTTTTTTTGAAAAATTCATCACTAAAAAGTAGGTGAGTTAGAAAAAGAAAATACATACATTTTTTACTATTTTGTAAATATATTAGTTAAAAACCTTCTCTTAATGCACTATCAGAAGGTCTCTTTAACTTGATGTCAAAAGAAATTTGTTTAAAGAAGTCTCTGGCATGTTGATCACGAAGTTCTGAAACTACTTCAGGTACAGTGTATACATTTTCAGCTAGTGAACGAACATCTGTTAATTTAATAAAAGGTCCAGAATCCACTATTAAGTGTTTAATTTTTTGACGATTAGTTGTCATTTTCTAAAAAAAAATTTTTTTTTTTAAAGATCTTGAATTCTGATGTTTGTAGATCTGTGTGTCACGTGATAATAATCAAAAATGCCAAATTTTCAAAATAATGGTGTCACAATATTATAGAATCACATGACTCGATCATTTATGGGTTTCTATTTGAATAAGATTTATTCGAATTAATTGTTTTGAATAAACGAATAAAACAAATAAATGAATAAAATGAATAATTTGAATTTGAATAATTGAACAAAATGAATAAACAAATGATTTGAAACAAATAAATGAATTAATAGAGATAGTATAATATACAGAAAGGACCTTTTTATGAAATATACATAAGAATTAGAGCTGGTAAACACTCTGTAATTCCTGCCACCCAACCCACAAATTTAATCATACGTCATCAATGAATGTCACTTGGGTTTTACAAAATTTTTGAGCTACAATTTAGTTTCCTTTATTGTATGATAAATTGCCATTTTTGGTAAGGTTCTGTATATTTCATTAGAACCTTTTTGTATATGAACATTGGTATATATTAAAACGATATTAGCTAATATATGTCAGCGCCCTTATTATCAGACATTTTGAAATTAGTTTTTAATTAGAAGAATTACACATTAATAGAAACCGGATTCAACCCTCTTTTTTTAAAGAACCATTTATCTATTTCAAACCGGTTACAATTCGGATCCAAACTCTGATTATTATTTGTCCATTAATCGAATTGTCATATAAGATTTTGTTTTTCACAACTCATACAAAGCTTGTACTTTGATGTTAGGACTACCACATTCTAAACATTGTTTTTTGATTTTAATAGTAGTAGAGCCCTCTTTTTTTCTTTATTTGTTACATCTTCAGGGTTGTTGGCTTCTCCATGAAGAATATGACGACTATCTGTTATTTATTTATAATTCGCTTGTATTATTGATAAATAAAAAATGCCGATTTTTATTTTATTCAATAATATACGAAAGGGACCCCGTTACTTCCATTATATATACTATCAATTGTATAGCTAGTCGAAATAAAACTAATTTGGGCGAGGTTGGAGATTACACGCTAACGCGTATGCGATACAGGTATCAAAATAAAAAACGGGTTGTCTATCTGGGGTGGTGGTGTAAGTGTTTCTATGTGTACAACATGATTGAAAATCCTTTTTGACATAAAGAATATTGTAAAAAAGCATTCACTTGGAGAAAAGTGACGTATTTTATTAAAGAGCTCTGGTCAAAAAGAATTTTTATTGGTGGTAAACTCATACAAATTTATTTATACTTTTCTTTTATAAAGAATAGCTGCTAATTGAAGCTTAGAGATTCCATGCATGATATTACTAATACTAATACTAATACTAACATTTCAATTATTTATTCGAAAAAAAAATCTAATTTAAAGATCTACATTTGATAAAAAAAAAATTTCAGATTTTTGAAGATTTTTTTACTAGAAAAAAATATGGCAATTAAAAAAGTTGAAATCTCTACAAAAAAAACCCCCAAAGTTCAAAAACCAAAGAAATCTAATTTTGGAGTAAGCTGTTTTGAATTTATAAAAAAAACTTTTTTAAAATTAATTGATGGAATTCAATTACTAAATTAATGATCAATGATTTTTATATAGCAACTTAAGGTCGGGGCTCATTGCTTAGGACAAATAACCCATATTAATCAAATGGATCTAAGAATTTCACTTCCTAATCAACTTACAGGATTGGTTTCAATAAATGAAATTTCTGATGAGCTATCAGAAATCGTTGATAAATATGTTAATGATGAAGAGGATGATAGCGATCAAGAAGATGATGATGAAAAAGAAGACAATGAGGATTCACAATTACCAAACTTGAAAGGATTGTTTAAAATAGGTCAATGGGTTTCTTGTGTAGTTACAAGAATAGATAATAATTACAAACGAATTCAGTTAAGCCTGAATCCAAAAAAAAGTAAACAGCAGCATTGTGAAGTCTGATTTATCAAAAGGAATGGTACTTGACTAAAATGATTTATACTTTTATTTTTTAAATGTATATACATATATATTAAGAAAAAATCGAGTTAAATTGATTTTTTGATTTTTATAGATATTATCTGCATCAGTAAAAAGCATAGAAGATCATGGTTATGTTCTTTCGACAGGATTTAATAATATCAACACTTTCTTAAATAATAAAAATTCACAAAGCTATATTAAAAAGTTTAAGAATGGTAATCAACTTACAATTGGTCAAGTATTAATTGTCAGTATCATAAATGTTGCAGAAAATGGTCGAACTGTTAATGTGACAGCTGATATTGAAACTATATCAAAAGACAAAAAATTTGAACAAATCAAAACAGATAAACTTATTTCTAATAAAAAATCCACTTATGCAATGGATGTTGATTTGAATGAGGTCAAAATAGGCGAGGTTTGTAAACTCTCATATATGTTTTAATATAATCTATTTTTTTTTCAAATACTTATATATGATTTATTGAAAAGTTATCCAATGGTGAAATAATCCAAATTAGTCAAGACTCAATAACAATATCACTTCAACCATCACAAATTCGAGCAAGCTTAAGAAATGGTCATTTATCAGATCATTTGACACCTTCACATCTTTCTAATATGATTAAATGTTTAAAAAAAGGAGATGTTTTGAATGATCTTCTAATTATTTCTAAAAATGAGGAAAAACGGTTTGTAACTGTTAGTCACAAACCTTTATTAATTGAAGCAGCAAAAAAGAGTCAGTTACCTTCTTCTATTGAAGAACTATTAATTGGTAATGTTTATCCAGGGTATGTCAAGAGTATTACTGATTATGCTGTGTTTGTTGGATTTCTTGGAAGTTTAAGTGCCAAAGCTATGAGACATGTATGCAAATAACTTGAAAATGTTTTTTTTAATGATTGTGATTATTTGCTTATCACTATATTTTTTTTTTTATATATATTAGAAAGTAGCTGAAAATTTTATTTCAAGTCCAATTGGAATATTTTATCCTAATCAATCAGTTCTTTGTTTAGTGACTTCCATTGATTTAGAGAATTCCAGATGTGAAGTATCATTGAAACCTTCTGAAACACCTATTAAATCATGCCCATATATTTCTGAGGTGGATTTTATCAAATCTTATTTTAGTGATATTTTACCAAAAAAAAATCAAAAAAAAGATTTGATCAATCAAAAAGTCAAGATAGGTGACATAATTAAGTGCAAGATTAAACAATTTTCAGAATTAGAATTTGGTGGTGGGTGGGTAGTTGATGTAATGTTAGATGGTAATAATGACAATGACAATGATAAAACAATTAAAGGAATTATTAATGAAGAGCAAGCTAAAACTAGAAGTGATCTTAAAAAAGGTGATGAAATATATGGAATGGTTATTGATTATGATATAAATGAAGATATTGTTGATATAGCTATTAGACCACAATTAATAAATAATAATATTAATATTAAAAAATCCAAAAGAAAGAAAAATAATGTAAGTTTAATTTATCCAAAATTTTATATAAAAAAAAGGAGCAGCAAGATCTATCTTTTTTTTTTGAAGTTTTATATTAATTTTATTTAATTTTGCAGAAAAAATTGGCAAATAAGATTGCTACAGAGACATCTATTGAAGCTTATATTGAGTTAGTAAAGGAAGATTATGTTGTAATATCATTACCAGAATATGAAAATTCATTAGCATTTGCTTCAACAAAAAGTTATAATTATAGATCAACGCCTTTTATGAAATTTAAATTTGGACAAAAAGCAACTGCTCAAATTTTTTATTTGCCAAATAACAAAGAAAATATCAATAATGATGGACAACTAATTGATAGAGCATTGGCAGTATTGCAATTACAAACCGAAGAAAGGTTGTCATCAATTAATAATAATAATTATTATAAAACATTGAATAATTTTCATAAAGGGCAAATAATCAAAGGTGAAGTTACTGGTGTAGAAAAATATGGTATATTTATAAAAATAAATAATAGTTTGGTTGGTGGGTTATGTCACATATCAAAATTGTCAGATGATTTTGTTAAAGATGTAAATAAACTTTATAAAATTGGGGATAAAGTTAAAGCAGTTGTATTGGAGATAGATCATGAAAAACAAAAAATCAGCTTTGGATGCAGAAAAAGTTGTTTTGAAGGTATTGAAGATGGCGACAGTTGTGGTGGTGATGATGATGATGATTGAATTGATCACACAAGCAGTAGTCAATTTAAACAGTGTTGTTTTTAAAGAATTTATTCAAAATATTTATTTAAATGTATAAAGTTTAATTTTTTTTAATGTTGCAAAAATTTTTTTTTGATACATCAATCTCAGTCCATATTTATATACATTAAAGTTTCTTTATTTCTTTTTTTGATAAATAATAAATTTAATTTGTTTATTTGTTTTAGTAGATTCAAATAGAACAAATGGTTCACTACAGCAAGTTTCAGAGAATCAATAATGCAAAAACACATATAATAAGTATATATAGCTTGTGGCCTAGGTCCTGTAGAATATGCATGCAAAATTTTTGTGTTTTATGATTTTTGCTATGTCATTATTATTATTAATTGAAATTCGATTATTTCAAAGAAGAAAAATTAAAATAATTTATAGGGCCTAGTACTAGGCCACAAACCACATAGTCAACCCCGTTATTTCCGTTTAAAATTAGTTAACAAATTTGGTTTAACGAGGTGGATTTACTGTTTCTTTGGTTTAACAGGGTTGACTACACAGTTGTGTATTTTATTATGTTAAAAAAATTTTTTTCTAAAATAAAAAAATCTGTTTTACTGTTTCAGTATATATATAATTAACACAAAATAACAATTTTCTTCAATTTATTTATTAAAATAATAGTTTCCATGATTTTATCCTATCCATTTTTGGCAATAATAAATAATTTAAATCTAGACATAATTACCTTTCATGGAACCAGTTGAGGATTTTTATTTTCTCTTTTATATCAATTATTGAATATATATTTCTGATATTTATTTGCAGATCCACTCAAATTTAATTCTTTCTGCTTACTTTGCTTGTCACCACAAGACCAATTTCAATTTTAAAATAAATAAAACCTACAAAGTGAACATAAAATTATATATATAGGGATAAGTGTATATGAAAATTATTAACAAATATAATGGTTCTAATGAATATGAAAAAGCAATTGATTTTTTAGAAAAAGGATGTAATTGTGGTTGTTCTTCAATGGTTCCCAAAGAAGAATTTGCAGCATTAAGGGAATCCTTTCAAGCTCTTTCTAAACCAGAACAAGATGTATTTTTAATGGCTCAACTTAAAGCAATGGATAGTGGATTAACAAACACTAGCAGACGCCTTAAAAAGAAAACTAGGTCTAATAAAAGAACTTTCTATCATTGGGATCACAATACACCTCTTTGTCAAGAAACTTATCTCAATATGTTAGGGATTGGCAGAACTTATTTTGAAAATATCAGAAATCATCTGATAAACAATGGTCTTCTGGCAAGAATTCATGGCAATATTAAAAGGATGCCCCAATGAAAAACCAAAATGGTGATTGACAAAGATGTTGCTGAAATAGTAAAGAATTTTCTAGAAAATTATGCAGAAGTTCATGGATTACCAAGCCCAGGTAGAAGTATCAATAGAATAACTCAATCAATTGTATTCTTACCAGCTGAAATGAGTTATAAATCTGTGTACAGAGATTTTCTGGCTGGTCTAGAAGAAGATAGCAAACTGAAATCCTTAAAATATGATGCTTTCAGAAAATTATGACATCAATTGACACCAGAGATTCAAATTATGAGTCTAAGGACTGATTTGTGTGATACTTGTCAACATTTTCGAAATGGTTTACATTACAATGCTCGTCAGGAGGAAGAAGCTAAAGATTTGCTCAAAAGATTCAAAGAACATCTGTCTAAAGCCAAGGTAGAAAGAAATTATTATAATAAAAATACCAAATTGGCAGAAGGGCAAAGAAAACTGGTTAATCAAAATTATTCAAAGAGTAAAACACAATATTGCAGTATTGATGCTACTGCTCATTATTGATTGAGCTCAAAATGTTCATGTGCCTCATTTAGATCAACAAGTAAGTAAAATTTATTATCTTAGTCCATGTAAAGTTCATT